ATTGAAAATTTAATTAAGGTAAGTTGAAATCGACTACGTAATTTTTTGTTCATAATTTTTTTAATATTTTGTTATACGTTGAATAAGGTGCCAAAATGAGTATGAAGTTCAAGGTACATTATTGACAAATTAGAGATACAAATTTAAAAAAAAAAAATCAAAAAGTATATGTAGAAAAACTGTTTTCTAAGTGCCTTATTCTCATTATTTAATATTATCCTTTTTTATGTAGGAAAAATTCAAAAATAAAAAATATACAATCATTGGCTATTTCTTTTTTTTTTTAATAAAATAAGGTGCCAAACACTGTTCCTTAATACTTGGTTTTCGTTATTATCAATCCAACATAAGTAATTTTTGAATGTTAAACCTTTCTTTCAATATATCGGTTTTTAATACAATACTAGTGCCATTTTTATTATCAACAATTTCTTTGATGTTGATTCTAATTTTGCGGATTGTACCTTGAACTGCGAAGCCATTACTCTTAAAAATACACTTTCCATTTTTCTAAAATATTTTTTTTTTAACATACAATGTGATTATGTTAAATATTAAATAAGTTTTTGAATAAATTGTACTTTTAAATAGTAGCAATTTCGAATAGTACACACTGAAAGCACACGTAAGGTTAACTGATGTAATTATAAATTATATTTGTATTGAGAAAACTGAATTGTTTATTTTATTGATAATATTTTGCTAGTGGCCGTTTTTTTCTTTAATTTTGGTACCTAGGTACCATTGGGTAAATATGCAGGGTGTTCCGCATAAGTACCCTCGCAAAACAAGTGCATGTTGGGCACCCCAAAATATATGTGTATACCCATAAATTTCGGCTTCATGAATCAATTTGGAGGTGAGTAAGAATTAATTGAAATATTTTAAGTGGTGGGTTACCCTAAAACCACTCCTCAAAATATTTCAATTAATTTTTACTCACCTCCAAATTAAGACTCGTGAAGCGCCTAAATAATTTATTAAATATAGATTTTTTAAGTTAAACGGTTGCAGAGATATTAAATTTTTTCCGAAATTTATGGGCCTACTTTAAGCTTACGTAACTCCTTAGGGCTACAACTTGGTATAGAAATAAATTTCGTTAAATCATCATGTTTTGGGGTGCCCAACACGCACCTGTTCTGTGTCGGTACTTATGCGGAATATCCTGTATATTAAATTTTATTTATTTCTACCTTATTTTATCAAATTTGTTTTTCCTTCTTCTTGCGATAAACCAATTAAACAGTAAACTTTGAATTAAAGTACATTATATATGATTTTTTCATTAAAACATATCTTTTGAATTTGTAGTTTTATTTTTATTGAGGGGTTCCTAGGAAGAAGAAAAACAAAAAACAATTCATTTTTTATCATTTAGCTAGTGCCATCATGTGTCAAGTAGTGCTTTTTTTATTTGATACAAATATAATTTGTACAATGATCGCATTTAAGTTATTGACTGCATTTAGTAACATTCCTAAAGTTATCGAGTAGTTTTATATTTAGCAAAATAGTTCTAGCCTGAAATAAGTGGTAAAAATTGGTAGACAATACACTATCTACCGGTTTAATAAATAAATTCTTTATATTATTTTATTGGGATGATTTTTATAGAAATTTAATTTGTATATGAAGGATGTCCCATTATCATTTTCTCAATTGACTTACATACATTAAGAAAAAATTCAGTGCAATTAAATGCTAAATACAGTCAATATTTTTTAATGTATTTTCTGCAGTGTAGAAGATATTACTTTTGTTGTTGAATTTTATTTAATGCTTATATCTGTAATACAAACATTTCAACTATAATTCAATAATTTTTTTTTGTAAGCTTTTATAGGATTCCTATGTCAAAACTAAAAATATGTTCTACTCTGCCTATTTAATATATAATTTTGGCAAATGTACTGATACTTCTACAGTTTTACACTGCCTTTTGTTTATATATATTTCAAGGAACTGTTTGTAAAATAAATCTGTGATTCTATTAATAACTACGCATTTTTGTTTCCATGTAAAACCTCTACCTCTCCGTAGGTCTGTTTAACAAGTACGTTTGAAGCTTTTAAACTTGAATAACTCTTAAATGGACCCAGATAGAGACAAGCAAGAAAAAGCACTCGAATCTATCTTGCCTGCTCCACATTTGTGTAAATTTACAAAAGAATTCATTCATTAGTTACTGAGGAAAACGAAATAATAAATAATTATATGAAATGAAAGTGAGAAAGTGTTTAGATCTGAAAAACTAAATGCAGATTTGGAAATTCTAAAAATGAAAAATCCCTAATTTTCCCTACGAAATTATGAAAATTACACCCCCATATTCCCAAAGTAAAAACAAGCAAAAGAAAAATGGGAAAAAAATTTAAAAATGTTTTACGTGTCTACGTTTTACGTAAATACTTTCGACGTATCTACGTGTTTAGGTTGCAAGATCAAATAGGGTGTCTTTCAACCCTAAAAAGAAAATAGTAGCAATCAAATATCTCTGTTCCTAGACAAAAATATATTTATTTTCTAGCATAGGGTAGGTACAAATACCACTTTCAAAATCTGTTAAAGAGAACGACTTGCAAGGTCAAATAGGGCGTCCATCAACCCCAAAGTCAGCCCCCTCGTAGACATAGCGACGACGTAGCCAGAGACACATAGACACTTATACGTAGAGGGAGACACGCAGACGCAGAGAGATACGCAAATAGCGCACGTAGCGTAGAGACAGGTAGACGTACGTTTTTCAACTTTTTAATGCACGCAATTAGCGCCGAACAGACATATGCCAAAGTTTTAAATTTGCTGCCGTCACGCTGCGCCACATTTCATCAAAATCGAATAGAAGAATAAAAAAAATGGAATTTAATAAATTATATATTTGTATTGCATAGATTGCTAAGAGTTTACTATATAGATACGATATCCGAAAATTGAACTGAAAGTGCGATCCTTGTAGTAGTTCGCCAAGCTACTCTTTGCTCTAAATTTGTACCCTTCGTATCTGTTCAATTCAAAAGTTTGGAATATTTGCCCTGAATTGTAGGCAACCGAATATACACCTAACTTAATATATATCTGAATAATCTATTAGTATAAAGGACTGATGAGGATCTTAATTAGTTTAGGTACTTGTTACTAGATGGCACTTACGATGCGATATTCGATCTCATACTTTATTGACAGATAGGCCCTTCCTCCATGAAATAGGCTACCCCTGAATAAATCTATACAATGTTGATGAAAGTATGTGTCGCTCTAATAAAATCATTGTTTCTTTTTCTAATGCAGACTCATATTAGAATCTTCAGCAGTAGCGTACGTAAACAGATTGCATTGGGTTATTTTAAATGTAAAAATAGTGACTGCAAATAGATTAAAAAAGTACAAAATAATGTTTTAAAAGATATGGACGTTTTTATTGAACTGAAAACAAAATATGACATTATTGTCATGTCAAAAAATATAATAAATATTTTATTGCTTCTAAAATATTTAGAATTACAGCAAGCATTTGGAATTCTATAAAATATCTATACCTGTTGAAAAGCTATACAATGGTAGTACTGAAGAAATACATAAAGCATTTAATTTAAACATGAACAAAATATTCCTAATAAGAATAAAACAAACCAATATATATTTACCTATTTAGAAGTATTTCAGGATATTAAAAAAATATATAGGAATTTAATTTTCTAATGACTTCGTTTAAAATATAAATTATCTAGTTACTTTATTTAAATTAGGTAACTAAAATATTCTTATATTACTGATGATAGTTTATATTTTAGACCATGTACAAATATACAGTATACGTCCAAAAACTAATAATTTTTTTGATATTGCACATACTTTTTCACTCATCTTAATTGTGTCTGTAATGTTTTATTTCTGTTTCATAATAAGTTTGAAGCAGTATGTTGGCAACAAAAAAGTCTTCGTAATGACCGATTTTCTAGAAACTTCAATGTAAAGTTACCAAAACATCTAGGTTTTTGAAATAGGTATTCATATACCTGTATCAGCTTAGATCAAATCCGATGTGCGATTTACTTCTTAATTAATGGCGACTCAAATTTTGTTGAGAATTTCAGAGTCATACCTTGAATTTAATATTGAAGTGTATGAGGTACTTTTGTTCAAACTATAACTTCTTTTATTTGTTGGCAAGTTTAATACTCTTAAAGAAGGCCCATAATCAAATAATTTAGTATCTGAAGAAATTACTATACTAAAAACATTCAAACATATTATTGGTTCGCCAAATTTATTAAACACAATACCTTCTATTTTTTTTTAGGTCGCATAGGTTCACCACTACTCTTTTTTCCTACTTTGTTTGTGTAATACAAAGTTCCTAAAAAGTAAAGATACAATTTTTTAAAGTGCTCGATATTATTTAGAAACGTACAAACTTATAAATATATTTGTTGTAGCAAAGCCGTCCTCTAAAAAGTGCATTGAACAAATGTAATATATTCGTTCAACTTCTAACATTTCAATCCATTCAAGTGCCTCTAACAATACGTTTCTTCTAATTCGAATTTTAGAACACTAATAATAATTTTATTTTTTTTAATATGCATATTTTATTTTCCTTTTTTCTCCTAAAACGACGCCCACGTTCTTCGGTAAGAAATAATATTAACGAGTGAAACGTAACCTCACTTCCTCTTTTATATTTAAAATCACATAAAACACAAGTCTTGTCCTAGTATAAAATAAACCCTACAAATCAGTCACTTTTAACACCACCATACTTTAACGAATTTAAGTAAAAACTTAAAAAATTGTCTAAAAATAACTGGAAAAATAAATATAGATATATTAATCTATTTCTCTCTAATTAGAATCTTTCATGTGATATCAAGGCGACAAAAAAATTGTTTACTGTCCTCTCTGTACTACTCTGAGATCTCATAAGTAGATGGTAGTTAAGATTTTTGATAATCCTAGCATTTTTACAAAAAATTTTAGGAGCAAAAAAATAAAGTTCCCTTAAAATTCATAATTTGTATTTTAATTAAACTTATAGAGGAAATAATTTAATAAAAGTAAATGTTCTGACTCATGTATTTAAGCTTGCAATGCTGGGCGATCTTCTTTGGCATTCAATTTTTCATTTGTTGAAGAATAACCAGTTCCACCCTAAAATATAAATAAATTCAATTTTCCAATCAATTCAATTTTTTTTATTGTTTTGTTAAAAAAACTTACACGTTGCATAATAATTATATCCTTCTTTGATAATTTATTACTGGTTAGAGGATGAATCCAATCTTTTTTAATAATTTTTTGTATGCATTCCATTGTAACTACATCTCCGCTGAAAAAAATAAGTCTATATTTAAATATTTTTAAACTATCGTGTATTGGCTTAATTTAGAAAATGAAGAGAAATTAATTTTTGAGTTGAAATACTCTGGTATTTTTGAAATTAAAGGTGCTAACTTAGTTTTTCTATGATGGTAACCATATGTGAGTTATGTCGCGTGTTCAAATTACATTTGAACACTCACGCAGCATGCGACAACACAACAATTATCTCATACATAACACCACCTTTACACATAAGAATAAAGTCACACCTCTAACAATCTCACTAGCGAAGCCACGCCTCACGAAATAAAAATCAATAAATGTGTAACCAATCAGAAATAAAATACATGACGTAAGCTTAACCATTTCCATATCACGGAAGTGCGCTCTAAGTTTTTGTAAAGAGACACAACGAGTTGGTTTGCAGACGCTCCATCGATAAGATGTAAAAATTGTTTTATCTCATAGAACCATGTTTGTTAAATTGTAATTTAAGTTAAGTGTTTATAGTTCTTCGGCAGTTTGCCATTATAATATGTAATCCATTTGTTTTGCCTGCATGGCACCATCGTTTAAGCGTGAATAAATACGCATAGAGGAAGAGTGAGTTTTTATTTATGTTTCGTCCCACGAGTAAGTAATGGAGGCCCCAGCGAAGTTCTGGGTGGTCTTTAGAGGCGCACTAGTACGTTAGTGTCGGCCACCTCACCTAAATGGTAGTCTGTCTTTCTGAAAAGATCACAGGCCGCCAACATCGCGTTTGAATATCCACATCGGATGCATCTGAGATGTTGTAAATCTTTGATCACGTATACGTAAATGTAGTAGGACAGATGTGTCCAATGTGGATAAACAAACGCTCGAGATGTAAAAAATGCATCGGATGTGGATATTCAAACGCGGCATAAGTAGGTAAAAGAAGAGTCCTTCTCAGAGTTATTTAATAGTATGATGTAGTTATTTCATCATCAGACACACCATAACATACCCATTAAAGATCAGCTACATTGGTTAAAAAAGATTTTAACACGTTAACTACCACCTGTCCAACCAGCTGCCAACTCGCACGGTACCTGAAGCGCCGAACGAAATATACGACATATTACGAAAATGTCTTTGTATTGGTGGCTACCAATAGCCGGCTGGCTATAAAAGTAGCATACACTTGTACGCCGGCGGTTGAGTTGGAATGAAAATGATATAGCCAGTTTGTTGCCGGCTGTACAATTTTTTTAAATACCATGTTAAACATGAGAAAGAGAGTCAGTGTATATCTATTATTAAAATTATTTGGTTTAAAAAAAAAAGAGTTATATCTTTAAATTGAACAAACTAAGGTTTCCAACAGTTAATTAAGGTAGTTCACTCATGACAATCATACACAAAAATATCGCCTAATGGTGAATACCAAAAGTTCTAGATTCTCAATGCTAAAAAATGTAATTTTTGTAAGAGTCTGTACAAAGGGTTTGTTTTGGTTCAAACAGAACCTCAAATACAGTGGACGAATTAATTTTTCAAGAACACGTCGCGAGGTTAACTCTTAGCTGATTGAGTGTAATTGAATGATTCTGAACTAGTATCCAAAACAACCAAAACAAGCCTAAAGTAATCTAACAGACATTTGAGTTACTGCATGTTAAGTGTAGGGATTACAATGTTGCCAAGTTGTAATCATTGTACCCCACCACACGTCAACTGTTTTAGAAATATTTTTATTTTAAAAATCTATATCTTTTTACCAAAACGGTCAAAAAATTCGGTATTTTTTTAAAAAATTTTGTAACTTCTTGATTTACATCATATCAGTTTTTAAAAAATAGTGTAAGAACCATTTTCGAGATATCTTGAAATAAATGCATTGCTTGTGTACATGACAGGCTTCAAGAGTGTTAATTATGCACATTTTGATTGTTAATATCTCGTTTTACAGACCGTCAAAAAATTTCATTTTCTTAGTTACGTAAAAGACACTTTCATTAACCTTATATTTGAATTTTATTGAATTCTTAAGAAAATCCATTTTACCTGTGAACTACCTTATTAAACAAAACAACATTTAAAATGAAGACTAAAAACTAACTTTATGAGGAAAATGCCTCATTGAAAAATTAACTTACGTCGGCCTGAGAACGGCACATGGGACTGAATTACTCAAGACATCATGGGTCACAGCACACATATACCTATTTTCTTTTACGTAAATGGATTTCTTTTCATCAGGATCATTTATTGGTGTAAATTTGACATTTATTAAATCCTTGACTTTTAGGGGCCTCTTAGAAATGGGACAGTAAACAACTGGATCCTAAAATGAGTAAAAAATCATTAATAATAATTAAAATTAAAATATAGTAATAATTAATTTTGAAGTGTGACAGCTGTGTAAAGCAAGCATTCTAAACATAAGTACTGATTCTTTCATAAAACGAATAAACAAACTCGTACAAATCATCCCCACTCAACTTAGAAACCGTCTCGCTCTTTTTATTGCTGCAGCCGATGTGACAGCTGTCTGCATAATATAAAACACAATTTGAATGATTGCAATAAATAAGCGCTTAATTATGAATGAATGGATTAGTCTAGTAGTTTTTCGTCATTGTTTCATACTGTCTGTAACTCTATGTGACTATATAGATTTTTTAAAGGAAGTCATATTATTTCCACTAAATAAAACACTTACTGGTTTTTTTAATTCAGTTTTCTCTGCACTAGGCGTTTTTGATGGGATCCAAAAACTAGGAAGTTCCTTATCTCTACCAACTGCCATATTTGAAATGGAAGTTCCAGGTTTTTCTAGAGTAAAAAATTCATAATAAAATATATTATCAAGATTAGTTTGTTAATGCCCATATTAAAGGAATGTGACAATAATAATAATAATACTCTCCCTAATTCACCCCCTTACGAGTGAATTTTAACTCCAAAAGCTGAGCTTGTCCAGGGAGAGGAAAGGCTATTAATATTATTTGCCATGTCGTGACAATAAAAAAGTACATGGCTAAATTAAGACTACTGAGCAAATTTTGTTTATGTATGTATTTGAATAGCAATTTTATTGTTTCATTTTTATAACACATTAAACATATTTTGTAATAATTGCAATATTAACTGAAATTAATTTATATTTAGCAAATAATTGTTAGTCAATACCTGAATCATTTTTAATCATAGATTTGCTGACAATATTATTTTCATCTTTTAGAAAGGAAGAAATTTTTTTGTCCACTTCTTGTGCTTCTTTCTGGGCATCTTTTTCTTCTTCTAACTTCTTTAATTTTTCATATTCCTTTAATTTACGGGTATAATCGTTTTTCTTTTTAAGTATATACTCTAATATAACTTCTTTGTCAAAAAGATAACCATCTTTTCTAAACAAAAAATTGAAGACTATTAACAAACTGTAGGAATATCAATTTATCAGAGATCAGTATGAAATAGGAAGTTTAAAAGATTGGTAAAAAACCAGTTTGACCTCTTTTTGATTACAAAAAAAAAACTAATCCTACTTGTAGGTGTCCCTACTATACACAAAGAACCTAAATTCCATATTTATATATTGATAAAGGCTGAGAAAATTTGACAGAATTTCCACAGTATTTAAATCTGTAAAATATAAAGTACCATCTAGATATCTTGTGCAAATGAATAACACAAAAGTCATTTTTTAAATAAATTTTTTTTACTTATTAATTTTATGGACAATGAAGTGAATAGGGATGTGGGGTGGGTACATTAGATCTTAATGAAGTTGGACATTATTTGTCGATGTGCACCGCGACCTTTTCAGATCTATTGTGGGACTTCATTATTTAGAGTATGTAGGTCTTTTTTTATTAGACTTAGTAGCTTTGACAGTGGCTCCTGCATGTAGTTAAATGTGTCTGTCTTTTCTTTGCCTAATGTTAGAAACCTCAATCTAGCCTCTGTTTCCTTTTTTTCTTCACAGAACCTTCACAATGATGCCTCTTCTGCTGGACTGATGACACTCATGTGCCTTCTTAGGTGACATGCTCCAGTAAGAAGACCTACTGTTATCTTAACACTTCGTTAAGTCGTTCTTTTTAAATCCATTGTTTGATGGATGCCTTGCACAATCTCTTAGCAACTCCACAGATATCCTTCGTGGTCTAGCACTCAGGCTAGGGTCACCTTGCTTTGACTACTTAACTCTGCGAGGTTTTCTAGGCAGTCTCTCACCAGTCAGGATTTGATTTCTGGAGAAAATTACCTTTACAGCTGCTTGGCTACCAGAGTATAAGGCAATAGTTTCGACTAATACTTGCAGATTTATTATTTATCTTGCACAATGTTGTCAGCCTGAAACACTGTTGCATATTCTCCTAGACTCAGCAAAATCATTGTTTTTTGACTTGGGTTCAAACACATATTTCTAATAAGGTTCAAAGATTCCAGCAATGGCTCCTTCCTTGGTTTTTAAACAGTTTATATACCAGATGAGTTCAGCCTGTATGGGAGGTCCCTGTTTCCAGGATTCTTGGGCTGGTCCCTGCATTAGCCTCTGAATAATGGACCTGGTTTCTCCTTGTATAAAGATGTGCAGTGGCAGGAGTAAAGCAACTTCAATAGTTATAGAAAAATTATTAGAAATGATAAGATAGTGAACTTTTTGTGTGACTTAGCAACATCATAAGAGTAGCATCTTTGAGCTTTGATTTAAAAACATTTAGTGCATTTTTTTAATTTTATTATTCCTTTGCACATGATACAGAATTTAAGTTTTTCGTTTACAATAATGATACCCACAAGACAAGTACGAATGCATAGTTGATCGAAAATAGGTCAAACTAGATAATGATCAAAAAATGTTGTTACGTGATTACTGGATTTCTACATGGCTGCAAAGATAACGAACAGCAATCAAAATCTTTTACAGAGTCTTTGCCAAGCCGTTGAGCATTGGTACCGTATCCTGAAGCTTTTGCATCTTTTTTCTTCTCGTGATATGTATAAACTGCTCCTGCTGTACAATTTCTAGCATGTCTTGTCATTGTTTTCTAAACACAATATTTCTTAATTGGAATTGGTTATGAATCAAAATAAACAACGTAAACAACTCAATGGATTATTGACAAAAGACAAATCTTACTTGACACTTTTGACAGATATTTATGTTCGCTTATTCTATTCAGCTCCATACTCCAAATGTAGAATTCTGGAACTCAGCTTATTCTAATTAAAGTTACAAAAGAAGTGATTGGGTTTGAAAAAAGTGTATTTAAAAGTGGCTGTAAAAAACGCCAGTCCTGAATGCCTTTTTTTTAATTTGTTAATGGTCCTTGGCTGAGAACTGTTTATAAATACGGGCCCTAGTGCCCAAGGTAGGCAGATAATCAAATTAAATTTAAAAAGAAGAACCAAATTTTGTCATTTTAACCAATGCTATATATTTATATAGAGTGATCATCCATATGTAAATTAGATGACTAAAATCATTTACAGAACCGGTCTAAAAATCAGAATCTATTTTTAGTTGTTTTGTTGAGATTTATCTATTCATGATTTTTATAAATTGAATTTACCAACATTTTTTGTTATATGTGGCACATAGAATTACAATGGACCATGTCCATATAGGCCTGTTTTGAGATATTAAAGTGTTTTCAAAATTTATTACAAAGGAACATTTTCTGTTTTGAAAAACTATTGTGGAATGAGTACCAGCATCTTTCGGTCAAATAAAAAAATAAAAAATAGAGATGGACCAACTTTATACTGAAAGATACACATTATACAACTCATTTTAAACCTAAAAAAAAGTGGAGTTAGATCATTATTATTCTATAAGCTTCGTTTATATAGTAATGATGCATATTTTGTATTGTTAATTAAAACTGTTGTAGAAATTATAAAATTTGAATTTAAATTCAAAACACATTTGGGCTAGAACGATTCTGGTCAGTGAACCTCGGCTCGGCGGCTTCGGCTTGACTTTTCCAATCTATCTATAGGTTCTTTCGTTCGCTATTGGTGTAGTGTCCACCAGTGTAAATTACACCAGTTACACCACATTCTTTACCCTAATTTACTTCCTCCTGATTCCTTATACACATCGTCGAGTGTAATTCACTCCTGCTAAATAGCTGGTGGAGAAAATATCCACCAGTGTACACCACATCGCCGACAGGAAGGTATAGTGGGTTTTACACCGGACCAAACGAAAGGTATGGGTGTGGGTTGGTGTAGTTCATTACTACACCCAACTACACCAGTGGGACGAACAAAAGAACCTTATCCAGTGTTGTTCCTGGTTGTACAATTGTACAAAAAGTTGTACAATCAGTTATGCGGTTGTACTGTTGTACGCACTTTTGAAAAAAGACAGAAATGTTGTACAATTTGAAATTTCTAAATATTTATGTAAAATTGGGTATATAAAAGGTTTTCATCGCTCAAAAAGTCTACGATTTGTTAAATAGCATGCATTAAAATTAATAAAAAAAATAAAAGTTTAAATTTGGCGCCATTCGCAACCAATCAGTACACCGTTTTACATCAAAAATATATTTTAAACTGGAAAAAAGAAGAATTTTAAGCATGGGAAAGTAGTAGGCCATAGTCTGTCAATAAAAAAGAAGAAGATTAATTAGTGGTTGTACAATCGAAAGTAAAAGTGTACAATTTTGACACTGAAAGTTGTACAATTCAAAAATCCCTAGGAACAACACTGACCTTATCTATATATATCATATCATTGATCTTTACATAAGTTGCATTTTAGGTTAGAATTTAGAATAATTTTTAAAACGAATGTATATATTTTCAATTAATCTTTTAAGCATATAAGAAAAACTAATGTAATTATGCAGAACCCACCAGCTTTCGGTTTTGGTACACCAAGTGCGGCACAGAGTGGACAAGCGGGTTTATTTGGTACAGCTACTCCGGGGGCAACAAATTTATTTGCAACTCCAGCAAGTAATACTACTCCATCTCTTTTTGGTACCGCAACTACAGCAAATCCAACTTTTGGAGCAAGTGCAACTCCTGCTTTTGGTGCTACACCAAATATAACTCCTAGTTTTGGGGCAACACCAAGTGCTGTTCCAGGTTTCGGGATCACGCCAAGCGCAGCTTCAACTTTTGGGACTGCACCAAACGCTGCCCCAAGCTTTGGGGCAACACCAAACGCGGCTACAGGCTTTGGAACGACACCAAACACAGCTCCAAGTTTTGGAGCCACACCAAATACTACTCCAAGCTTTGGAGCCACACCAAATACGACTCCAAGTTTTGGGGCCACACCAAGCGCTCTTCCAAGTTTTGGCACTACAACTAGTGCAGCTCCTGCTTTTGGAGCCACACCAATTGGTACTACTAGTTTTGGAGCCACTCTAAGTTCAGCTCCTAGTTTTGGGGTTACATCGAGTACAGCTCCTAGTTTTGGAGCCACACCAATTGCAGTCCCTAGTACAGCTTCTAGTTTTGGTATCACACCAAGCTCAAATGCTACAGCCACACCTAGTTTTGGAGCTACAACAACTGCATCAGCATTTGGTGCAACAACTACAACAACAGCTGGATTTGGGGTTACCCAACAACCAAATGTTTCAGGTTTTGGAATAACGCCAGCTACAAATTTACCTTTTGGGGCGACAACTACTAGTGCAGTTGCAGGTTTTGGTTTTGGAACTACAACAACCTCTGCCGCTGCTGCATCAGCAACTAATACTGGCCTTAGTTTTAATTTAGGAGGTAAGTACTTTCAATTTTATTATCTCTTGGTATGGTAAAAATAAAATAGCTTAATGAATATAGTTCATTTTGACACAAAAATTAAAATACCTGGATATGTTTAATTTTTGGTCACAGATTGGCACTGGAATCTTAACAGGACTGTTAGAAGTTTTTTAATATTAATACTATTTTGTATTTGTCATTGTCAATAGAAAAATAAGATGAAAATTTATTGTTACATTGAATAATTTAATTTTTGGGAGAAATTTTGAAGAAAATGGATGATTTTCCTAAGTTCACTCCTGGGATTTATGCAGGTTATCATTATTTTCATCTGACACACCAATAATTCAGTAATTATTAATAATTAACTATAATTAACATTTAAATTCTCTTCTTTTTCTACTATTTTGGCTGTGTTGCCACTTACTTTATTTCTTGCCTGGTTTTTATTTTTCAATTTCTCCGCTTCTATTATCTCTTGCAAACACATACTTTCACCAGCTGTAAAATGTTTGCATCCTACTAATGCTTCAATTTTTCTTATTCTGTTCTGTTTTTTTATTATCCTAACCAATATGACTCAGAATAGCTAGGGACTAATCGATCTAATCCCTCAAATTTTTTATTTTTCTCCATTTATCTGAATGTTCCATTTTAATGTTTTTTTTTTTAATTATTTATTTGTTACAGCAGGTTTAACTAGTACTCCTACCACTGCTGCCTCCCAGGGTCTAGGTGGTCAGCCAACTGCTCAAACAAAAGTGGTAACAACTCAAAAGGACATCACCCCTAAAGATCAACCACTCCCAAATGAAATTCTTCAAACAGTAGAAGCATTTAAAGAACTAGTAAAACAACAAAAGTTGCACAGTTCAGACATTGCTAGATGTTCAGTAAGAGACTTCAGAAAAGTTGAGCAAGATATTAATCAGTTGGCTCAACTTTTGGCTGAGGTTGAAAGCCAGTTACAAAAAAATCGACAGTTAGCTGAAAAGCTAAAATATGAAACAGCAAAGTGTTTGAAAGATGTAGAGATAGCACAGAGAACACAAGACACTCCACCTGGTTTGCAGTATGAGAATACTGCACCACTAAAATTTTTTCTTCAATTAGCTGATAAATTCGAAAGAGAAATGCAGGTACAGTATTAAAAACATGAATTTTATAAAACATATACAAAGATTTCTATTAAAGTACAAAGTTTGTTTATAAAAAACAATATTTGCAGGCATTGAAAGTACAAATTGAAGGTGCTGACAACTACGTTAAAAATTACCGGAGCCCCAATGCCCTAACTCCCCAAGACTTGCATCTGGGAATGAGAAGACTACATGAATCTTTTGTTGCTTTAGCAGGCAGACTACACTCTGTACATAATCAAGTAGAATCACAAAAGGAAGCTTACTTAAACACTCGAAAACAGCTTTTCAACGATAATTCCAATCCTTTTGAAAATATGCTCAATCCTATAGAAGTCAATTTCGAAAGTATGTTACATCGTACTCCACCAAAAGTAGCTACTGGACCTACACCGTTTAGCAATTTGGCAATAGGTAAGGAGTTATTAAATTCTATCTATATCGATTATGGGCCAATTTGAGATTTTAAGAACTTCATCTTTACAAATAGAAAAAAAAGTTAAGTATGTACGAGCAATTTAAATTATATGATTTATAAAAAAAATATGAACAATAATAAAAAATACCATTCTACAAAATTAAAATATTAATTTAAAAAAATGTTAAGAACAAGTTTTGTTTTTTGCACTACTTTGTTTTATTTTGTGTACTACCAATTGAATTCTTATGACATATAATTCATATAAAGGCTACTCCTTAACATACTATATTTTAATTAATGGAACAAACATCCGTATTCACAAAGCATTTTTAGTTAGTCACCTATTACTAAAATTTTAAATAGAAAGATCAACATCAATTAAGAAAAATCAACTCTAATAAATATTACTTAAAATTAAATTTTATGTAAGTTAAACTTATGTTTAAAGATTTGGCGGGTAATGTGTTAAATTTTTAAATATGTGGGCAATCTCCCAGATTTACATAGAATCATTAAAATAATATGACAAGTTCCTGTATATTTTTTTTCTATGCCTCCCACATTCCTCCCTACATACGTGCCCAAGAGATATACTATTTTTTCTCTATTATCAATTAGATTGGGATAAATTAAAGTTTTTAAATAGCCCCACAAAAAATCTTAATTGGTTTAGGTCAGGTGATTGAGGAGGCCAAGCAAGTGGTCCTCCTCTTTTTATCCATTGATTTTCGAAGTTCCTGTTTAGGTGTTCTTGAACTATTAGACTAAACTGTGGTGGGCCCTCATCATGCATGAACTACATAAAACGTCATATTGCCAAAGGTAGATCTACAAATGTTGGAAAATTGTTTTATATATATTATAAAGTTCTCTAGTTAACCTTATTACTAATACAAATAGTTCAATTAGTTGCTGCATAATGATCCTAGTTCACACATTGATGACTTTAAACTGATGCTGATGACACGTCACAATGGAAACATGGGGATTTGCATCTGCACAGTCCAGCTTTGTCTATAAAGAGAAAGAAACCCATGAAATTTGCTCTCCAACGATTATAGATACTGTCGATTTTGGACACTCAATTTTAGGACACTTGTATATGGACCTGCTTCTGTGGCATTGATTTGATTTCCACAATTGTGACTGACTTTGTCAAAACTTTTCTAAAACATTTTATAGCACTTTACACAAAATCTTTATCATTCAGCAACTTCAAGTAACAAATAAAATAAAGTTTTATCTGTCTCTCAAGTCTCAGTCGACGTTCCACTCTTTCAAAGGGTTTCCTGTCAGCAATTCTTTGGTTTGGAAATCGTCTCTTGAGACATTGCATGATGAAAGCTCATAATTATATTAAATGCTTTTTTTTAGGAGTTTGTAATGTTATTTTTATCTAAATCCGAGAGATTGTTCACATTTTCCATATTACCCTTTATACAAAAAACTGGTTAAACTACAATGAATATTACTTTAACTTTGCCATCCATTATCATTAATATTAATTTTGTTGAAAATATATTATCACAAAAAATTAAAATTACTAGTTTGGAATGGACTCCTGGAGCGATACACGTTGTTTATTACTATTTAAACCCCATCAACAAATACGTCCTATTAGCATTATTAGCAGAGTCCATATGTTAATAAGTCATGACGTAAATGACGGGTGTGGAAACAGCAAACTGCATGACATTTGCAAATATTTGCCCTAAAATGACACGTAACATATAAAGTGCTCTTACCTTATAAATTTGGCAGCTTATATTTATGAATATGTTACAAAGTTTATGAAACTATTTTTATATTATACAGTATACATCAACTCAAAGATAATTTTCATAGTGTCAAGAATGTATAAATAAATAAATATTACGGAAATATCCATTAGTACACATAAATTACATAAAATAGCTTAAATACATTATAAAAGGTAGGTACAGTAAATCTAACATTAAATATATGAAATGAAATATACTAAAGATATTAAAAACATATTCTCTTTACATCATTCCGAAATTGAATAAAATTGAACATCCAGTGATATCTAAATGGTATTGATTAGCCAGTCTCATTAGTCTAGGTAGGGGCGCATGATAAGTATAATTAGTGAGGTGAAGTTGAATTGCAAATAGACTAATATTCCTTGTAGTTTTTGTGGGAACTCTAATTCAATCATGGATAATAACTCATCAGATGTAACAATCCCAAGTATGATCTTATAGACGAATAACAGATCCATGAAGATTTACAAGGTTGGGAGGTTTATTAAGTTCAGAATTGTGGAATAATTATATTTACCTGTCGCTGGACCAAGTTTAAAGGCACAATATCATAAATATTTATTTTGGACATTTTAAATCCTTCTTGCAGAGTTCTTGTAAAATGGACTCCATATGGTAGAGCTGTACTCCAAAATGGACCTAAAATATGCAACATAAACCAATCTGCAAGCATCTAAAGATAGACAGCTAGATAGCTAGATTTTCTTATCAGCATACCTAATATTTTCATTGCTCTATTAACAATTTGATTATTATTATGATTATTAAAGGAAAGATCTGAGCAAAATACGATTCCCAGGTCTTTAATTTCGGTAACACATTTCATTATTATTATTATTATTATTACAAACAAATTAGGGCTGAGGAATGAATCCTATTGCCCAAAATTACAAAGTTCATTAACAAAGACAATTATTAAATAAGTAATTAGCAAATAATGCAAACAAAACAATAAAAATAAACTTTTAGTTTTCCTTAAAAAAGTCATCCAGTCGGTTTTTGAATACATTTACTGACTGTGAATTAATGTTTTGTTATCCAGACAGTAGTTATGTGTTATTTGAATACAATTTTTTTGGAAAAGTAATGCAGTAACACTTACTACTGTTTAGGGTTAGACTATTAGAGAAACACCGTTCACATAAGGCATGGAAATCTTTTTCAAGTTTATTACAACAATCACCACTGTTAACCTTTAAGTAGATCTTTAAATCATCGGCAAAAAGCAGATAATTACTGTATTCAAAACCAGATCCATTATCATTAATGAATAAATTAAAAAGTAAAGGAGGTAAGTGGGCCCCTTGCGGTACACCAGAAGAAATATTTATCTTGTCACGCTGCATTCTACCAATGAGATAACTTTTAAGCCACTCTAGAAGAAAAGGGGGGAATCCATAGGCTTGCAGTTTGAGTAATAATAATTCGTGATTGACTTGATCAAACGCTTTAGAGAAGTCTGCATATATAGCATCTACTCACAAATCGTTTTCCACAAAATTTATTATGTAATTGAGATTTGTAAAACCGTGTTGCTGATCAATAAGTAACTTTTTGCAGTGCCAAGATAAACAATTATTTACCAGATTCTTCAATAATTAATCAGTATAGGTTTTACAACTTGTAAGAGAGACAACTGTTCTATATGTTCAGAAGTTAAACTTTGACGTTTGTTACTTAAAATCCATTTATATAAGACAAGTATTAGAAATTAAGAATTAAAAAAACCGACTTCAAAAACGTGCAGATGCCATCACCACATCTTAACCAAATTTATATGGGACCACCCCTGAGGTACCCCCTTACTAACAAAAAAAGAATCATATAAATCGGACAAGGTGGTAAAGCATTATCGCTAAACATACATAAAAAATGAAGAGTTTGAGGATTTTCTCATAGACCCAATTATTAGATTTTGACTAAATTTATATGGGACCACCCCTGAAGTACCCCCTTTCTAACAAAAAAAGAATCATTGAAATCGGACACCGTGTTAAAGAATAATTGCTGAACATACATAAAAAAATATCGCGACGAATTGATAACCTCCTCCTTTTTTGAAGTCGGTTAAAAATGATCTTTTAACATCCACGGACGCATATATGAAGTTTTTTAGTTTTTCAAAGATTACACATTAATGTTTTCTTGAGCAAAATCAACTTTTTTTACCTTTTAAAAGATACGTAACTCTACAGATAGTAGCAGCATTATTGTTTAAAACCATTTCCTGACAATTAAGAAATGATATGGTGGAGATCACCAATAAATTCCAATTCCATTCTACTGTCGAACGAGATAGATTGTTCCGTGGCATTTTCACAATATATGAAAAAATATATAATTTGTCACATAAATTATAAAAAACATTCAACTAGAAGCATAAACTGGTCCCTTTTAGGGCTTAGATAACATCTCTCCGTTTGACAAACGAAGACGTTAGTAACTAAAGGCGCAGATACATATTTAACACTATTGAGAAACTAAGTTTTCCAAATTAATTAGAAAAATTATTATCCAGTGTTCCGTACTTTGATATCCTCAGTTATATATGTATATATAATTCTGAGCTCCGTTTATATTTTGATGAAGTGAAGTCCACAGCTTATTAACATAAGGGCTCTGCTTATTAAATATTTAATTTTATTCACAGCTCTATTCATTATACATATTTTCTGAGCTATTTTTTCAATAAAAAAAGAACGTTTAGTGATTTTAGTTTGGTTTTAATTAAAAAACAAAAAAATGCTGATGTTTTTCAAAATTGTGGCATTTTTTTATTAAATATACGGATATACATATACAGGATGGACTGAAAAAGAGGAACACCTTTTATTATTTTTAACTTTTATAGAAAAAGTTTTTCCTCATAAAAATTTTTACTTGTTTCAAAAATAATCATAATCCAAACATAAGTTAAATATCTATTTGCCTTAGTGAAATAATGACAATTTTTTGTTTATTTATTTATTTACATTTTTGTCATTATTTCACTAAATAAAGATATTCAACTTCTGTTTGGATTATTATTAGTTTTAAAACAAGCAAAAACTTTTAATTTCGTCCTCTTTTTCAGTCCATCCTGTATAACAACATTCACTTAAAAAATGTGGGTCAAAAGACACAAACCAAACAATAAATACACTAAATAATTGATCAGTCTAAACACTGAAGACACAGTAGTATGAAGGTGTTATGTTACATAATTATTAAACAATTCAGTATTTTGTTAAGGAAAATTATGTAAGACAATCTTTTCATCTACAATTACAATTCGAGACTTAATACCTATGTGAATGATGATGTATTTAAAATTGTAAGATAACACCTCTATGTTTAAGTAATATTAAAGAAAATATTAACTAACTTACTACGTTCTTTTAATTTTCTGCATGTATTTTTTTAGGTCTGACTCAACCTCTAGGTTCCCAGCAAAATCAAAGTGGTATTTCTTATTCAGCCCCTACTACTACCGCTTCAGGATTCGCAAATATGGGATTCAGTGCAGGTTTTACATCTAAACGATTGCCAGGCTATGAAAACTTACTATTTGGTGGTTCGTCTGTAGCTCAAAATACCAATAGTTTTCAACTACAGAAGCCCCCTACAGGCAATAAGAGAGGAAAACAATAACGTGGTTTTAGTTAAGATTTCGAATTTGTATTTTTCTACTGTACTGATTAAAGATAAAAAGTTTAATAAATGAAATTGATTTTTAACTGCTTAATTTTTTTTTAATCGTATTGAGTGTTTATTTATTTATATAAATATACAACCAGCAGACCAAGACTCAATTACAGGTGTACATAATAGAAAAAAGAACAAAATATAAATGTAGAAAACTGTTAAAAAACTAATTTACCACAATGAAAAATTAAAAAAAGAAATAAAAGGAAAAATGGAAAAAGAAATTTAATAAAACAAATAGTCTGCTTTTATATCTACTAGTTAGAAATCAAACAGGAGATTTGTCCCTTAAATTGTGAGTAAGACAGAAAAAACCGGCCAAGTGCTAGCCGGACTCGCGCATGAAGGGTTCAGCACCATAAGATTTAATACTATGTAGGTACTTTTTAAATACTTTAAGATCGAGCAAAAAAGCCAAAAAAAAACACTTCTAGTAAGGGAGCCCCTATAATTTGAATTATCAAGGGAAGCTGCAAGGCCGATTGAAGATTTGGAAACTACTGATATCAATTATTAAATTTGCTTGGGCTCTTTTAAAAAGATTCAATTTAAATAAAAATCTGATGTGTCCAACACATGACTTTCCTATCTAGTTATTACAGGCTTTTTCCGGTTATTTTGTACAACCTATTGCAGCACCTCTATAAATGTTTAGAGCAGGGATGTTGCGGATGTGATATTTTCCAACATCTGCAGATGCGGATGCAGATTTTTTGAGTTCCATATCATGCCTTATCGAATTAGCCGACAAAAACCCTTATTGTATTATAGCGAATTATTTAAACCAGCAACTATTTATAAACACGAAAATATCGATTAATGGAGCCAATATTTTTATACTCATCGATTCCAACATTTTTCTTACATCAAATTTGATAAATGTAAGGTTATCAGTTAAGTACCATTAACTAGGTAGATCAGTTAAGAGATATGTAACTCATTTTCCAAATGTTTTTTCCGGTCTTAATACAGCGAATATAGCGTTGATGTTATATTAGAGTGGAGGGCCTTGTTGCCACATATATTTTATGTAAATACTCCAGAACGATTTTTGTTGGATATTAAATATATAGCAGAAATGGGTTACCGGCTAAGTTAGGTAAGCAGTGCCGACTTAATACTGTATACTGTGCTAAGTTAATACTGGGATATTTGACCGCTGGAAAAACTTGTAGGCAGTATACGCTACTAGCAATGGCATATTGTTATTCATAAGGCTCTCAAAGTAAATTTTTCAAAATTTTGAATCGTAGGATTGACCACCCATTAGATGTAACCACATCTGCAAATAATTTTAAGTGGGTAAAATTTCAACTTTGAAAAAATGGCTAATCGTTCAAAATGGTTTAGACTCCAGAAATCAACTTGAACAACTTAGCTTTTAACATAGTTTCAATTTAATTTTTTAAAGAGGTAGGAAAGAAACATTTGCAGCTTGTCTGTAGGGGCTGTACTGTTACAGCCCTGCAGTAGAAGGGGAAACCAATATATCAAAAGTACAAAGACTAGCCTGTATTTGCATCACCGGTGCAATGAGAATCTGCCCTACGGCCGCAATGGAGGTGATCTTAAACCTCACCCCTCTAAATTTGATGACAGAGAATGTGGCAAAAAGGACACGATATAGAATGATCAGGAACGGAATAATTATACGAAAATCTACTTGCTTCCGGACTAAAGATACCTTTATATGTGTAACTTTCATACGGCTCCTTTTGTTTCAATTTTGACAATCATAATCTGGCATCACGTCTCTGGCGTTCAATATATTTTTCGTTAGCTGATCTTGCTGACTGTCCTAGACCCCTGAATTCACATATTCGGGCGGTCAGATCGGGAAAAGTCGCTCGCGCTCGTAGGTTTTAGATACAAAATTTTTACATGCAAAAGAGCTACGAAAAATGTCCGCCTTGCTCCTGTGTAAAGTACATATTATCTTAGTAGTGTTTTCCGTTACTCGCGACCTATTCACTGACGATGCTGATTGGTTGTAAACACGAAAAGGGGTAAAACTATGTAGCCCTCAATTCAGGCATTCGGGCGGCAGATCGAGTCGCACTCGGAGGTCGCAGATACTGAATTTTTATACGTAACAGGTCTATAAAAATTTCCTCCTTCACCCTATTCTAGACACCACTTAGACAATATGTCTTAAGAGCAAACCGGACCTCTTGCAAAAAGCAAAAATCTCATTTTAAGAGCATCTGCACGATTTTGAAGTCGGTTTTTTAAAATTAATTTTATATTATTTTATTCAATCAACAGTGGATTTCCCGAGAATTAAAAAAAATATTATTTTCTGCTATAACATCGACGTCTATCAGGAATTAAAAAAAGTTTCTGAAGAATCAATAGATATATTTTGTGGGATAGAATCCGAATCTGCAATAGGGGTTCCAATTTGAGATGTTGAGATTTCAGTGACCCTAGGCCCCATTCGGTTGGAGATTGATATCATTGGATAAGTCCCAATGAAACGAAAACAATTTACTGACATCTTTATTTGATCCAAAGAGTAGTTTTCATTGTTTTGACATAAAATCTCTCCCTGCAGACAGGGCTGTGCATAGGAGGTGGGCAGTGGACACGCGGCACGTATTGCCGAACAATAACTCTTTATTTGTTATTTTAAATTTAAGTTTGTTATTTTATTTGTTTCTAATATTTATACCTCCAACACGACATTCTGTGTCATATTAGGTACTATTGAGGCTAAAGATTGTTTGTAGCACCCAAAAAGTACAGTAAGCCCTCCCTTTAATAAGGCCCGTGCATGCTCTGCACGCCCCTGTCTTTAGGTACACGAAGAATTTTATTATAATCTATGAACCCTTTTATTTTGTATGATTTTTTTTTTAATTTCGAACTCCTCTGCTCACGGTTCGATATCCAAAACTAACAAGGAATTAGCAGGGCAACCGAGAGCCATGATAGGACCCCGGGGCAAAAGACTGACATGGCCCTGCCACCATATATTGTAATCTATTTCTTTTAAAGCTGCCTGGCCCCGACGATTTTGCTTCCCCTGCACCCCCTCTCGTCAGGCCTGGAAATTAGCCGGAAATAGATTTTTGGTAAAAATCAACGAAACAAAAGAAATCTTTGTTCACAAAAATTATATAGATGCAATTAAAGTAGATAGAGTGAAAAACAAGTATTGTAATGATAGTCTAATTTATTTATAGTTTATTTATTTAAAACACACAATTTATTTATGATGTACTATTTAATTTATATAATACTTAGACACTATACTAAACTAAACTGTGCACTAATGAGTAGGGCTATTTATACCAAGTCCAACTCTGCTACGAGAAGTCTCTAGACGCTCTCGAAAATTCCATCTCTGATTCAACGGCACGCATCGCCCGTTCTTGTATATTCGAGACGCGGTCCGACTGTCTTCACACGTCAGCCTTGCTTCGATCAAGGTCGCGCTTACACAGGCTTGGCTTCGCGTCACATTGCCCCCTCCTTAAGAAATAATTCCTCCTGGAATTAAAACTGAATGATTGTATCTGCAACTGGATCTTCTTCTACAAATTCCAGTTGCATGGAAGTAACAAGGGACAGTCTTCGCTATAACCTGAACGCTGGTAGAATGGCTGCAGACCAGTATTTCAACCTGGGTATCTTGGGAAGATTACTTCCACCATGTTTCTAATGATTCTCCAATTCAGCTGGTTGCTTTCTATCTGTGGCATAGCTAGTTTCTGTACATTGGACTACATTACATGGTCTCTCAGACTGAGTAATGCTTCCCATACATTCTGATAGGTGGATTGATCTCGGAAGGTGTTCTTTGTTACCAAATAGAAAAGATAACACTATTTAAAAAAAATTAAAGGGACTTTCGAAACATGATAATCAATCACAATCTTCAACTTGACAGTCTGAGCCATACTAGGTACTATTGAGGTAAAAATAAAAATGAATACTAACTAATAATTTTAATTTTTTATTTGTTGAAGTACTGATCTCGGAAAATACCTACTTTCAGATTTTTTTAATTGGGTTCTATTTCCTCCTCATTCAACACGGCTTCTTTTCAATAAACCAGTCTTACCGAGATCAAAAAAGCCAATGTAAACAAAGTTTATTCCCTGATTTAAAGTTGCCCTGTGGTCCAAAAATTTTTCAACAAATACTCCCTAAATTTACGAAATTTTCCAACATTTGGCGACAGTGCCGAAAAAACTAACAAGAGTGCGTTGGTGAAGGCGGAACGCGGAACGCCTGCGCCATTTTCCACAGCTAACTCCGCTGGAAATTCATGCGGTTCGGTTTGCTAGTTACGTTTTGTGAAGTGAACCAAAATCCGGGCTCCGGGCACTACACACGCAATTCCACTAAATCGCACTCTCAGTGATTTTTTTTGTGAACAAAATCTGCTGCTACACCAACGGTGAGATTTTAATTGTTTAAATGAATTTATGTATAATTGTTGAATACTGTATTATGGGGTGATTTTGAAAAATACGAGGCACCAGCTGTGCTGGAATGGTCCAAATATTAAGAAATTTATTGAAACTGCAAAATATTTTAAAGGAATATCTTTGGTGTAAGAGAGGTCTATAAACAGTCACTATTTTGTTTTGCAGTACCTAGATATTTGCGCAATTTTGATACCACACTCTTTTTATAACAGATTATTTTTTAATAAATGGTTTAAGATTACTTAAAAATTAAAATTATTATACAGGGTCATAAAAATTATGCAAATTAAGTGGTATTCATTATTACCCCAATAAGCCTTCATTCGGTTAGTTTAGATATGCAGAACCCATGCAGTATCATCTAAAAACCAATGTAGGCTGTAGTTCTTTCAACTGCTGCAAAAAATAGAGGGTGTTCCATTAAAAAAAGGCAATTTGAAATATTGGATATTTCTTGGTTTACTGAAAACAATTTATATAATATATTATGGTTTAAAACATTGGTGATGTTTACGCGATAGATTACGATCTTGGTTATACGTTTCAAGACAGATTACGGAAACTTTCAAATACATTAAACTTTGATTATAAAGTAATTTTTGAGAAAAAATAGATCTTTGCAACGGATTTTAAAAACAAACTTTAGTTGTAAAGCCTATTAAAGAGAATTATACATTAAAATAGAATACAGGGTTTCCCATAAAAAAATGATACCTGCTTTGTGTAACCTGTATAGTCAAATTTTGAAATGTAGTATTTGTAGGGGTTGTATAATACTTATTTTAACGTTTTTAAATATTCTAGTTTAGCTGGTATGCTCTGAACGGCCCACTGTGTATAATATTATGTTCTTTTATGTTGTTTCAGTTTTTACAAATATGGGCTCGTAACAAATAAAAATAGACTAAAAATTAAATATTTTAGCGTTGCCCTGTATTTATATAGGGTGTTCCTAAACATCATGTCATAATTGAAGGAGGTAATTCCTTGGCCCAATTTATGACTAAAAGTTCATATATACATATGTCCTAAATTGCTTTGTTTCAAAGATACAGGGTGTTCAAATTTTTAAAAATAATCAATTTTTCATTCATATCATAAACACTCTTCGACCGATTTTGATGAAACTTGGCATATTCATTTGTTGTAGTAAGAGACTAATTTTGACCTAGTTATATCTGAATTATTAATTCCAGTGGCGTTCCCAAATGCAATTTAATTGATATTTTTGAAAAAAAAGTACGTCACTGACTTTTTCATGTTTTTTTTCTTTTCTTTTCAAAATTTGCCAATCAAAAACACATCTTTTTTTTTTCTTAAACTTTTTCTATATTTAGTGTTTTTATCGAGATAAAAAATAAAAACCAAGAAATATTATGACTTAAAATTTTCTGAGACATTCAGAGACCAAATAGAAAATATGGAAAAACACAGTGGCGTGCTTTTTTGTCAAAAAAAAATCAATAAAGTTGTCTTTGGGTATTGCACTGGAATTGATAATTTTGATCTAATCAATTTTAAATCAGCCTCTTACTCAAACAAACAAATATACCAAATTTCATCAAAATCGGCAAAAGAGTATTTATGATATTAATGAAAAACTGATTATTTTTGAAAATTTGGAAACAAAGCAATTTAGGACACTTTTTTATTTGAACTTTAAGTCATGAGCCAAGGAATTACCTCCTTCAATTATGTCATATAATAAATTGAACCAAAAAAAATATTATCAAGCGTAGATGGATTTATTTAAAAAAAAAATCAGCCAAAATAATTTAATAAAAATGGTTACTCTTTGTAAGATATTCGTGTTTTTATACTTTTCATGTGTGGGATAAAATAGTTTTCAAAAAATTTTTCGTCTACACTACAATTTAATTGTGAGATTGATGCGATTATTTTTAACAAAACAAATATTTTATATTATGTGCTACTGTATATTAAAGCAGTTTCCAAAAATCAGTTTCTTACTATAAATAAAGCCATCCAAAGCTGTCGCGCGAAAACCAAGTGTATGTTATCGAATATTAGTAATAATAACAACCCGTTGGCCGGAATTTTTTCATTTAATTTAATTATTTAAAATTAATTCTGATGCCTTGGTAGGATTCCCAACTCGACCATTCACTGTTAGGTACTAATTAACAGTGATGTTCCTAAAGTGGCGCTGGGAAACAGTAACAAAGCCTACACAGAACACGAGGCTAATAACCATAGCAGTTGATGCTGATGACACAAAAAAAATGTTTATTTACAAAAATATGATCAATAAGTATATGTATAAAAATCCTTTACTATTTCACTTTAGAATATAAATAAAATCAATTTAAATGTAGTTAATCATTTATTTAAAAAATAATTCCACTAGATGAAGGAAGAAAACTTTCGAATCCATCGTCGAAGTAATAAATAAAAATATTCTCTGCAAATAAATTACTATCAACACAATAGTTACAATATACCGACAAATTTGGGCAGCCCGCGTTTCAGGTGGAGATGAATATCGAGAAGGATAGGCGTCCTATTAGACCAAACGGAGAAAGATAGAATTATTACATGTACAATAAGTCTTTACATAAAGGAAGAGAGGGTTGCGCACAGAGATATTCTATGAAATGGATGAGGTACCTCTCAACTTCGACCGACCGGAAAGCGGTAAAACAGCCTTAACACAATACCATAAATTATTTGTATCCCTATTTTGGTTGATTTTGTGTTTGTAATAATTTTTTTGTGTTTTTTATTAAATTATTTAAACTATTTCTTTATGCAATATAACTCCCTTTTAAGTTTTCGTTTCCTAAATATCAAACGGTGGTTTTTTTCCGGCATTTCAGCTATTTTTGTTCGGTGGAAATACCTACAAAAAGATCTGCGGAATCATGAATCACCCTGTAAGTGACAATATTTTATTTATAGTAGTTAAGTATGTATATTGACTACACAGAATAAGCGAATAACTTCCAAAAATATTTAAGGGTAATTTTTGGTGTCTATTTTAAATAATTAGGGATTTTTAACTTCCTATATCTCACACTTTTGATGTCCCAATTATTTAACATATCAAAAATTCCGACATTTTGACGGTACTCCCGTTTGCAAGAAAAGTGCGTGGTCCTTTATAAATAAACACAATTCATTAATAAATAATTCACTAAAATAAATAGATATCTGTTTTACTGAATAAAATCCCAAAATTATTGTATTTTTGCTATTTAATGAATCATATTCAAACAAGAATTAATTTCGAACAACAAAATATGTGCAGATGATATAAAAAAAAACTCCAACATATCTCTGGATGAATTTCATCAATTTTTAAAAATGATTATTCAGAATTCCAAAGTTAAAAAATCATTTCTAACTTCAACACCCTGTATCTCAAAATCTAGTCACAGGATAGGATTGGGCTCACGGACACTTTTGATGGGGACATTAAGTAATTTAACAAATGAAAAATTCAGACATTTTAAAGGTACTCCCGTTTGCATAAGAAAAGTCTTTTATAGATTTTTGGGATACTTCTATTTCAGTTTTTAGTTAATGTAAATTTAATTCTAGAAATTGTGTAAGAAGTGAAACAACTATTCGAAAATTACTGCTCTGTATTCCATTATTAAAAAATGTTACTTCTAATATAGGTACCATAAATCATTAAAAAATAGATATTTGGTTCCTTAAATTGTGGTTAATTGAGGAAGTATGTTTTCTGATAGCATAATTATCTCGGCTACTAACCTTATGAACAAATATGATAAGTTTATTAACGTTTATTCTAATAGTGCAACAACATTACCAATTTATACGTAAACATAAAATAAATAAATAAATCTGTAGGTATATTTGATATTGTAGGAAAATTTAAAATTATTATAATTAAGGTAAAGTCAAGGACAGATTCCTATATCGATTTCTGTGGTTTACAACATTAGATAATAATATATAAAAACGATTATTCTTTAACATACAGAGTTGCCAGACTAAAACGAAACAGAGCTATTATCAGGAACTGCATCAACATTTTAAACAAACACTCGTCAATTTTTGATTCAATGAGGAAATTTAGCAATATTTTTAGTGTCCTTTAGAGGAGTACAAAACTGTTACGTATTGTAAAGTGTTATACTTCATTTGGAAGCTAATTTTATTTTGCTAGTGGTTTTCTTGGAATTTAGGTATTGGATACAATAAAACAATGTGGTTTTTGAGTTGTCTGTATAATTTTTGGTACCTCGTTTTGACTTTCTATAGTTCTTTAGTACTCATTGATATCATTAAATATTATTTATTTTTAGCATCATATTTTAATTTTTCTTATTAGGCTTGAGAATTGTTTAATGTTACATTACAATTTTAGCTCACTCTATAAAGGAGGTGTAGAGTGTGTGATTCCTTCATAAACTTTTTAAAGGTGCTTAGGGAGTGAAGATATTAAAAGTTCTGACGTCAAGGAAGTGAGTCGGAAGGGGGTAGCACAAAGAAGTTTTTCTCCTGTGCGTCGTAGGGAAACATTTTCTTATATCAAATGAAAGCTATACAACTTTTAATTTATACAATTTTTTCGAAATCACAAGCATTTTCGAGCTGCACTCTCCGGAAAAGTGAAAATTTTCTGAATATTGATTTTTACCTCACCGTTTTCATCAAACATTCTTTCATATTGCCTAAAATGTTCATCTGAGAAAAAAAATTCCCTTAGAGGAAGTTGTTGAGAATTGAATTCCCGTTAAGGGGGCGTCCATTAATTACGTGTGGTATTTTTGAGGATTTTTTGACTCCCCCCCCCCCGGTGAGATTTCGTAACATTTTTCTCAACTCCCTCTCCCCTCCCCTAATATCACGTGAGATTTATCAAAATTTGTGTTTTGGGTGTAATTGCGTTGGATTATTAAAAAGAAAAAAACAAAAACAATATGTTCTGTTACTTTTAAGACTAACAAAGACTAGTATTTGAGAATATTGCTGTAAT